AGATGAGAATAACTTGGCGCTGTGCACCCAATTCAAACTCGGAGATATGGTAGCTTGCAACTCAACTCAAATCCAAGTTTACTTCAGTTGACTATGGCGCTGGGCGCCCACACTTACACGYYYGACWCAGASTTCACACGCAACYCGACTCCGGATCACCCTGGATACCATGCACGCCAACCACTGCACACACACATACACACTCACTAATTGTCTATGGCTATGGCGCATGGCCACTAACAACTCACTAGCCTATCACTAACTTCTGCCCGCTTCGTCTTCAGGCCATCTGCAGACCTCCCTTGCACAAGACGCCCGAGCAGCGCTTCCGCAGAGCTTCCGCAGGAATGAATGAATGGCTGGACGCAGCCTCTTGATTTATACTTCTGCGCAGCTCCGATTTGGCCTGTATTCTCTGGCCCCGGTACCCTTAGCCCCATATGGTACTTGCTGGACCGGACAGGGACTTTCTGGACACTTCCTCAACTGCACTACGACTCACCTACGACTCACTGCAGTCCTACTGAGGTCCTACCAGTTGACTTCGACAGATGTCACAGTCCTACGGCGCAAGTAGACTTAGCTACACCACTTGCCCACTGGTCGACCTTCTCGAAGACCTTTGGACCCTACTTCGATTTTTGCCCTACAGGTCTGTGGTTCGAATCCCTTACTTCTCTGGTGCCTATGATGACCTACCTGCAAGTGGCTATCCTACAGGTCACAGGTTCAAGTCCTACAACTACACAGGTATTGTACACAGGTAAGTTGGGGAACTAGGGATCGAGCCCTGGGACCTACATCAGCTACTTCGAACTGGTGAATACCGTTTCATTCGTCATTTCTTCACCTTCCTCCCATTCTCTGATCCTTGCCCTTAGTCTCATTCCCCTTGCTTTCCATGAGTTTCAGGCTCCCAATTCTGCTCTTGCTTTGGCTAGTGAGTCCTCATATGAATTGTGTTCTGGGTTATTGATGAGGAATTTTTATGCTACTTGGACTGCTGCTTCTAACTCTTGTATGCGTTGGTTTCTTTTGGTTCCTAGCTTTCTTGATGCTATGGAGGCTGCTTTGGATATGTTAGCTATTGTGGTCAGGAAGTCCACTCCTTCCTTTTCTGAGTCTATGCATGCTAGGGCTATTGCTTCCTTCATTTGTGGAGTATTTAGAATGGAGTTATTAATCTTGAAGAAGCTAGGCCCTTTTTGCGCTCCTGGGTTGAAGAGAAGATTGATGAAGATATGGTTGTGATCTAGCCCGTTGTTGTAAGGGAGTTTGCCTATTCCTACACTATGAATTGTTCCTCTAACGGACTCGGATACTAGGAAGTAATCTATTGCCGAGCTTGTTATGTGTTGTGATCTGTTTCTTTTCCTATAGGTGAATCTTTGGATTTCTGGGTGGATTGTTCTTAGTGGTTCTATTAGGTGTCTTTCCATCATGAGTGCGGTCATTTCTTGGGCATCCCTTGTTTGTAATTCTTCTCTACCTGTTTGCGATGGTGAAATCCGGTCAGTAGATGGTTCCAACACAGAGTTTCAATCGCCTGCTAGTAACAGGTGCCTCTGTGTGTCGCACTTTGCTGAGATGCATTGTATAAAGTCCCTTCTCTGTGATGAGTTATTGGGTGCATACGCATTTATTAGCTGGAAGACTTCTTCCTTGTACGCGAAGATAATATCTATCCCTCTTCCATCTTCTGAATCCATTTCACTTTGGAGGATGTTGATGTGGTTGGCTGCTATTGAGTTTCCGTTCCAGAGGACAACTGTGCATGCTGAGCAATGAGGGGGATGGTGACCATTGGCTCCTTTTCACGTTTCTTAGTTTGGCCTGTATTCTGCTGATTACTGCTTGGTGTTCCGTTGAGTTTGTTAGGTGTGTTTCCTGTAAGCATACTATGTCCGGAGGGTTTTTTGTGAACCAGTTGAGGTAGTTAGATATGTTGTCCCATTTTTCGTTATTGGTTAAGATTGTTGCTAGTCCGTTGACGTTCCATGACATCACTGTTAACTCAGGCTCGCTCGGCTTGAGGGTGAAGTGTCTAACTCGGCCTGGCTGAGTGGTGTGAGTTGAGTTGTTCAGTGATGCCATGAATGGTCGCTATGGGTTCATCCTTGCTCTCTCTAGTACTGTTGATCTAGTTAGGGGTTGCTCCGAAGGGCTCAAAGTTGTGGATTCTGACAACCCGGGCGTGTTTTGCCAGCATCTGTACTCGGTGCTCCTCCTTGTCGGCAAAAATCCCATGTCCTTCTACCAGTGAAGCTGCTACCGCTGCTCGTTCCGATGGGATATCCCCCGCCAAGAGGCCGTATGGGATTGCCTGAACTACCTTCCATGGTTTCCATGTGAGGTGGTCCCTGATCTCTGCCTCCATCGAGTATTGAACCATGTACGGTCTGCGATCGCTGATCAGCAGGTCTCCTGTTGTGTTTATCCACTCTTTCCTCCAATCCTCCCATGACCCTAGGATGTGAGCGCTCATGGGTACGTCGTCAGAGATGTTGGTTGTTAGGACTCTTTTGCTCGGTTTGGCCAGTGCGATGAGGGCCCATGATTTGTTGACTGCTGCTACTCAGTCCCCGTGCTCTGTGTTCCATCTGTAGGGGATTATTGCTCTTTTCTTGCATCCTTCTTTGGCCTCAAGTCTGGCAGCCGTGAAAGTTTCTGCATTCTGTATTGCTGCCAACTTTTGTACACTCACTGTTTCATCTGCTGATTCCCTGTTTTGGTCTTTGAGGACATGATTTGTGCCTTCAAGACCTTTTGTCTATCGAGGTCTTCTCTTGCATCTAAGTGCATTTCTTCACTTTCTTCTTCTGTTCCTTTGTTCTGGGTGCTTGTTGCTGGTGTCGCTTGTTCTCTCCCGCTTCCCCTTTTGAGCCTTTTGCTCTGCTTTTGGCTGTCTGAGTCAGCGTAGGATTTGGGCCAGGAGAAGCTGTTTGCTGTGAGCTTGCCGTGGTTCGCTGCTTCGTCCAGTTTGGCCCCGTAGCGCTCAGCGAAGAATTCAGACAGTTCTTGTTCTTGTTCTAGAATTTCATAATGATTGTGCGTAGGGAACAAGGTGTCGAGTGAATGCTGAGTCGGGTTGAAGTTTTGCAGGTTGAATATGTGCTTCTTGTGTGCCACCCTGATTTCGAATTCAATCTCCCTTTCCCTTTCTAGAGAGTGCACGTATTCTGACAACCAAGTGAGAGAGTCTTTGTGGTCGGCCTCTTCTGTTCCTTCCTGTCTGTCCTGTTCTCCTGTGGTGGTGGGATCCTTTTCAGTTGATCCCTGTGACATGCTGTCGTCTACGCCGTCCTCTTCTTCTGTGCTCTCCCCTTCTTCACTGTTTCCATCTGGTTGGGCTTGCCCATCTTCCTCATCCATCGTTGTTTCTTTTTCGCCATTGCTGCCCTCCTCAATCCTCTCACTTTCTTGCCTTCTTTGTCTGTAGCTTTTGCATCTGTCTGGTTGTCTAGGCTTTTGAATGAGTCTGTGTGCATTTCTTCTGTTGTAGTTTGGGAACTTTTAGCCTTGCTGGTTCTGTCCTGTGTTGTGCTGGTTGAGGGTGAGCCTGGTACAGCGTGCTCAGCTTTCCTTTTCAGTGGTTTGTGTGAACGGTCTGTTGTGCTGTGTTCTTGTGGTTGTTGTGATGGATTTTGTTCTTTGGTTGCTTGAAGCTTCCCTCTTGCCTGGAGATTTTCAATGTAGGCTTTTTCCGCTGAGCTGCCTGTTTTGACCATTTCTTGCATGATGTCTTTTTTGTGCTTATCCTCCATGATTCCCTGCGTGTTCATGATCTGTTTCCTGAGAAATCCTCCCTCTTTGTCTTCGATTTTCCTGGCCCCTTTTGTTTGCCATTGGCTGCCATGACGGGGATAGATGTCTGGTTGAACTGTTGGTTCACCTTGGAGTACCCACACCCATTTGGGGTCGTCGAGCCTGTCGTCGAAGACATACCACAGACCTGCCTTTGTTTCACACTCGGTCATGTTGGCTTGTATTTGGCCGGGTTTCTCTGCTATGTCCTTGTTGAGTGGACAGTTCCTATCTGTGCATAGGTGGCCTTTCCCTCTGCACTTAAAACACCGTGGGTTGGTTTTAGTGGATAGGAAGACGGTCATTTTTTGGCCGTTGGATTTTTGGAACAGCCAAACCTCTGGGAACTGAGGTGGAACTCCTGAGGGGACTTGGAGACACGCGATTCTCGAATCATGGTTCGGGGCGAAAAAATCTGGGCCGGAGGCCAGCCATTCTATGACTGGGTTGTTTGGATAAGCTTCAGCAAGTCTTCGTTCGATGAAATTGTGGAGGCCTTCCTTGATGTTGTCAAACTGAACCCAGAAGTTGTTTCGCAACATGGTTTGTCTATATGCTTCGATGCTTCGGGTTGTGGGGCACGTCTGGGTTTCCATTTGGTAACAGAGACCACTCCTTTCCTGCATTTCAGACTGTTGAGTGAGATCAGGTATATGCTCTGTCAGGACAGACTATCATCACTGTGTTCCGTGCCCGCTTATGATATGTGACGTCCGGTTTTGTGCCCGGTACTTCCTCCAGAGATCTGAGTGTATCCCTGACCCAGGACCGTTTTTCATTTGGGGACATATCTGTGCATTTTTGCGGAAAATTGAAAAGGACTGCATGGTTTTGAAAAACTTCTTCAGAATTGGCTTCATCCTCTTCTGGGTATTCCCATATCTCCTCTTCCTGATCTTCGTTTTCCCCTTCAATCGCCGGGATTGTCCTTTTGATGATGTTCACTCTGGCTTTCACCTGCGTGCTTGAAATGAGGAAGTCCATTGCCCTTTGGCTCAGAGACTTTGGGGATGATGTCGAAGTTGAGAATTCCGACCCTTTCTGAGCGTTGGGTAACTGGGATTGCGCACGTGCCTGGGAATGGGGTGGTACTTGTCCCGCTGTGATGGGTGGATTCCCTTGTCCCATTGGGAAGGCTGGTTTTGATGCCATGGCCTTTTTCCCCAGTGCTTCTGCGTACAACATTGGCCTGTTGGAGGGGTGGAGATAATCAAGTGGCGAAAATTAAGGAATGGTTAATCGATTGTATTTGTCTGATTAGTAATAATAATAAATAATAAAAAATAATAATAACTAATAATAACTAATAATAACGATGAATAAAAAACAATAATACTTGGCCAGAGTTGAATGTCTTACTTTTCTAGTTGCCCGCCCATTAATGGGAGGGCAGTAGTGGCCAAATGATAATTAATGGCGAATAATAGTAAGTTTCTTAATGTGAATCTTTCCTTTCGAAGTACTTGAGTCTTTGGTGGAGATGCGTGTTTGCTTTTTTGTCGGCTTCTTCTCTCTCTTGGTGGGCTCTGTTTTCCCGCTTCCGATTGCTCAGTGATCCGTGATCCGGTGTGGGATCGAGCTGTTAGTTCGGGGGAGGGGAGAGGAGGAGGGGAGGTCAGGGAGAGTGATGGGCTGGTACTGGTGTCGGGTTGATGATGTGTTTGTGTTAGTGGAGTGGAGAGCGTGGTTGGGCGACGTGGGTGAAGTGGTGGATGGGCGGTGATGCTATTAACTGGGCGATACGGTAAAGGCCAGCACGGGAGAGGTGGGTGAGAGCTGCTCTTCTGGCCGACTTCCCCGCCCCTGGTGTCAGTGGGGGTTTCGATTTCCTAGAAGGGCAGATCTACGCTAGAAGCGACGGTCCTGGTTACGCATTTCCTCCATCTATGTATTGGAAAGGAAGATTCCTACTTCCCCGATTAGGGTGTGCCCCCTGTCTGTCTCGGGTCTATCGTGGACTGGGCGGTGAGTTCTTCCTATAGTGAAAGTACGCGCGCTCCGTTAATGGCTGCCCCTTGCGCGGATTTTTAACTAGGATTTTTAACTAAATTCGCACGGAACTGGTTGTCATTGCGTTCCGTTAATGGCTGCCCCTTGCGCTCGTTTCCACTAGGAAGGCCTTGAGCGGATTTTAAACTTAATTCGCACGGAACTGGTTGTCATTGCTCTCTCATTTGTCCCTTGCGTCGCTCCGTTAATGGCTGCCGCTCTGTTCTTCTTGGATTCTTGTACTCGCTCTCGCCCTTACACTGTCTCGCCTTTTTCTCCTTCGCGCGGCGAGGTTAAAGTGTAGGTCATTTGGGTCTTACCTTTTAGATCCCGTGGCCTCGTGATGATGCAGCGAAAACTGGTGCTCTTCGCTTCTTGCCTTGTTTGGAGGTTTACCGCTTGGCTTAGTTTTCTCCTCCGGTCCCTTGTCTTTCCTCCGCTTAGGCGCGACTTGTTCCTCCTTTTTCCCTCCTCTTTGCTGTCATTTTCCTCACCCTTTTTTCCTCCTCTCTCCCCTTGTGCTCGTTTGTCCTTTCCTGTTCCTGATTATGTCTCTCTCTCCTCTCCTGGTGCAACCTTGCTTGCGCTACTTCTCATTGCTTTTCTTTGCTGTTGTCTTTTCCCAAAATTAGCTGCTTCTCATTTCTCCTGTTGTCCTCCTCTCCTCTTGCTCGTTCTTTCCTTTCTGTTCCTCCCCCTTCTCCTTCCGCCGTTTCCTGTCCTTTGTTGGATTGAGAGTAGCCCCCCCCGAGGGTATGGCGAGGTATGGTGCACTCTCTCCTCCAAGTTCCCGCCTTCCTATTTCGAATTCGTAATGGAAGTAGGGTAATGATGTGTGTGCGCGGCGCGCGGGGCGAAAATTCGCCGTGGCGCTGTTGCGAGTTACAGTGCTGGGAATTAGCGCTACCCGGTCCAGCGCGGTCGCTCCTTGAAACGACCTAATTAGTCATGAAAGTACGAGAAAAGAAAAAATTTGCAACTTGCGATTTAATGATAACAGAGTGCAGGTATTGATAATCAATCAATCAATCAATCAATCAATCCATCAATTAATGGTGAGTCATCCAATGCTGGTCTGCTCCGATACCAAACTGTTGCATACTCGTGAAACACAGTCATAAGTATGGCGCAGATTCCCAGAACAGACCAGATAATACGGAGTTATACAGATGCAAGCGGAAGACTTGAGATACCTTGGACTGACTCAGACCTGACCCGGACTGCAATCGAAACACTCTCAAACATTCATCAGGGGTGTGAATGCCCTGGCATCACACATAGACGAAAGGCCAGGGACTGAGATCATACACGGACAAAGGGAGAGAGGGGAGAGACGAAGGAGGAGGAGAGGGAAGATGACGTCAACTCAATGTTTCCAAAGATAGTATCTTGAACTGTCAGAAGTGACGAAAATCCAAAATGTCGCGAAGGACAAGCCTCACAATATCCCAGATGTCGTTCTCACAATGTCAAGTACATCTCCAAAAGGAAGATGAAATCAGATCCCCACAAGTCCGCAACTCGTAGTCCTCAATGTCGCTGTCTCATATGTCATCAGAACTCGCAACCATCTCCCATACTGCAGTAGTCCTGTAGGAGAAGTAGAAGTAGATTTAGACTGAGAAGGTAGGAGTAGAGGGAGAGAGAGAGAGGGAGAGAAGCGGTAGAGGAGAAGAGGGAGAGAAGGTGAAGCCTTCCTCCCTGGTACCTGGCTATGGCGCTGCAAAGGGACGGCTGGGCCGGTAACTGGCGAGGCGCCCAGTGCTGCGCTAATCCGCTCTCTGCTGAACCTCGCTCCTTCGCTGCTCCTCGCTGCTGCAGCGCTGCGCTAACCGAGCTAATGCTGCTGCTGCGCTAATCCTGAAGACTAACCTCCGTTCGTACTAACTTACCGGACTGAGGCTGGTACCCAGCCTTTTGTAGTGCTGGGCCGGCCTCTTGCCTACTGGTACCTACCGGCCTGGACCGTTGATCTGAATCGACGGTCCAGATTCAAACTGGTTTGGCGCCCAAAATGTGGCAGCCTCTGAAACGCCGCCGGTTGGTCCTGGGCCGGACCGGTACCGGCCTCTGGCCGTTTGGGCCTAACGTGCCCTACCTCAGGCCTATTTGGTCCTGGTCTGAACCGTCATCCCCCTAGGCCTACTCTGCCTACTGGGAACCGGGCCCTAACTGGGGCCTGTGTGGCTCAGGATGGCTATTCCACGAAGTTCGCACATGTGCGATAGGGAAGTATCGAATCGCTGAGATGTTAAAACTGCACTCTTGCCCAGTGACAAAGCCAGTCAATCAACGAGACGAGAAGAAGAAGATCCTGTGCCATGCTGTTTCGTCTTGATACCGCTCTTGGCGAAGCGAACTAAACAACAGATTCGCAGGAGGGAGTGGCACTTTCCCTGAGGCTTTTCTGCCGCTTGCCACTCTAGGCTTCATCAGAGGGAGGACCCTTTCCTTTGTCGTTGGAAAGGGGGGGGGAAAGAGGTGGAGGGAAGTACAGAGAAAGGAGTTTCAGGGTATGAGGTGGAGACTACTTTGCCTTTTCAGGTCCCTGTGGCAATACACAGGACGAGGTTCGAAACATGGACTGCTGTCTCGTGGTTTTGACAAAAAGGTGGACAAGGAAAGGGGATGTCAGTCCGCACAAGTTAATGGGGTTCTTTCTGAATCCTTTGATATTGTAACTGATCCAAGGGGCTTTAGTGGTGCTACCTGTGCGTTTGGCTGATATCACCTTTCGGTGGATTTTCCAGGTTATGAGAACGAGCCCGCAGACTTCTGCTCAGGAGGCTCGCTGTTATGGTCGGAGTACGCGGGTTTATGACTAGGATTCGAAAAACGTTAGAGGGATTTCCTGTTCCGAAAAAGAGCAAACCGGGAAAAGAAGAAGAAAAAAAGAGACAAAAAAAAGAGAAGAAACAAAAAACGAAAAAGAAGAAAAAGGAAAAAGGAAAACAAAAAAGAAAACAGGGAAACCGTGATCAAAGGACAGAACAAAGGGGGAGCGTGCGTGAGTCTCTTATGTACTCCTTATTGACTTGCCAGGGGAAAGGAACCGGACTTTTGGTCCCCAAAATGGTAGGAGCCAGAGCCAAAAAAAAAAAAGTACAGGACAACGATCAGGAAAAAGTGAATAGGGCAAGGCTAAAAAAGAGAGAACTGGGATGGAGTGTTGCACATAGGGAGGCCTTGATATACTTGCCGTCCTCTGAGGGGCTCTTTTGAATCCCTGTCTTGCGCAGTCTCTCTTCTTTTGTGTGCTTGGTTGCTCAGTCCCTCTGCTCTTGCCTCCCCCTTTTTTGAACCCTCTGTGTGTGTGTGTGTGTGTGTGTGTGTGTGAGAGAGAGAGAGAGAGAGAGAGAGAGAGAGAGAGAGAGAGAGAGAGAGAGTCTCGACTGTTGTGGCTGACAAAGGAATGTGTAGAGAAAAATAACTGGGGGAGAGAGAGAGAGTGTGGGGGGGAATGACTGTTGTGGTTGGTGAAGGAATGTGTAGAGTGAAACGTGGGAAAGAGACTCGGAGAAAATTTTGGACGGACTTGGAAAATGGGAAACTTCCAGAATTCTGGTTTCTCTAAAGCCGCTTTGCTGGTGGGATGGTCTGACGTATAATTGATGTACTACGTGAGTAATTTTTTTCACTTGCTTGCATGGAATCCGTTCTGTTCTGCTGCTCAAAGCCTCAAATTGCTTGCATGATGTTTTGACTTGACTCGTTTTGAAATTTGATTTCTGTCATTTTGTCAATCTGTCTTTTTGGACTCATTGGTGCTCTCTTCTCAGGTTGAGAAGGATAGAGTCAAGCTGCCCTCTCGAGAATTCGGAGGAGTCTACATGGTGGAATTTCTTGACGCACTCTGCCTGCAGGTGAAGATCATTGCTGCTCTTTTTCTTTGTTTCTTTCAAATTTTCACCAGAACCGTTTTTTTCAAGAGATGCACGACTGTAAAATGAACTTGATGTGCGAGGGTTTACTTTCGAGAGGTGGAGGGGGTTTACTGTCGAGGGGTCCTGACTCCCGAGTGTCCAAGGCAAAGGAAAGACTTGCTTTTCAAGATCCTTTGTCACAGTGAGCTGAGTCGTATCTCAAAACGGTCTGTCACATATTCTCTCACAATCACTGTTTCATTTCGCTTTGCAAGTTTGTGACACTGTTGTCATGAAGGATAACAAATTAAACAATTAAATTGAGATAGGAATGAGCAACAAGATCATGCGAAGAAGCAAAAGAGTGCATAACCAAATAGTTGCTTCGCCAATGAAGGATTTCGTGCAACAGAATGAATCAAAGAACTAAACACGTTTCCAATACCTACAGCGGCTCCAGCTAATGCGATTGTTGCACACCCGCTCCAATTCATTTTGCACCTTCTAACATAGCCATCTTCTTTTTGTTTGTATCAAAACAAAGACCATTTAGTTGCTTCTCCCTCTGCTTCTTCAGGACTCTCCTCTCCCAACCTCTCAGGGTATCTAATGTCGTGCATCTCCCCTCCCCTTCCACACCGATTTAGCCATAATGTCACTCACCAAGTGGACCTCTCGCCAGCGCTGGCCTGTTACAGGCTAGCACAATGATGCTAGAACTTGAAATGACAATATCTGTCGTCTGAAGCAGCGCATATGCGGGCATGGGGTCTCCTTTCCCCGTCACAAATGAATTGCCACCCTGAGGCTATGCTGACCGTCCCTCTTACCCCTCGATAACATCAGTGCCACACTTTTGGTCTATGGGACACGCGCCAGCAGAATGAAGTCTTGATGATAAGTGCTGGTCTGTCCCCTCATGTTCTTCGTCTTGAGATAGCTGTGGCTGCCAGCCAAGTAAGCTTCTCCTTTCTTCTTGCCCACCGTTCCTCAATCTCCACCACGCATATGCTGGTAAGTGCCATCACTTTTAAGTCTTACATGAACTGGTAAGTGCCACCATTTAAGTTTTGCATGAAGAAGGAGAAGGCCATGAGCATCCTCCAGCCAAGCCCCGTTCTCTCTCTCTCTCTCTCTCTCTCTCTCTCAACGCATAGATTTGCTGGCATCCTTACTTACCCACTCATGTCTCTCTGACGCCAGTACTCTGTCCCCATACAGGAAGTCACAGCCTGTCCTCTCTCTCTCTCTCTCTCTCTCTCTCTCTCTCTCTC